TTTCAACTGTTTTGTACTGTTATCTCGCAATAGAGGAACAAATCAAGTCAAATATGGTATTTTAACCAAAATCACATGTTCAAGAATGTTGGGGACCTCTTTTACATTCAAATGAACTCAATCGTAAAGAAACGTGTCCATATTTTTAACGACGTTTCTGAGTGCGACTGAGATGAATCATGAATACAGTCGTGACAACACCTTTCAAATGGGAATTTCTAATAGAGATCGGTGAATTATACCATAAGTTAACACATGAGAAATTGGTCATGAACTTTATTGTTTTGGAAATGGTGAATTTTATATGGACAAGACTCATATTTGTTTCTATCGACCTAATCAACGCAAACAAATTATGTCGCTTGTGGGATTTGTTAAACGAACAAATGATTCAGGATGGTAGAAAGAATAGCAGGTGCGTTGTAGTGATCTTATTTATGTTAATGGTGGGTGCTTAAACGCAATGCCTTGTGAGAATATATCCCATCCCTGCTTGTGTAATATGTTCCTTATTAAAGTCATAGTAATGCACCTATCAATGTTATACCCCCAGGGGGGGGAGGCCGGGCGTACCCTCGGGATTTGCACGAAATTTCTTGCCCCAAGTGGGGATATTTACCATTCTTCAGAGCCCGAGGGTTGGTACATTTGACAAATCTTAAACCACGTGTCTAATGCACATATCAACGGCCTGCCCTGGGGGTACACCCCCGGGACACCCCGGGACTTTGAAAAAACATGATTCTAATGCATTAATTCCCCCTCCCTCCCCCGGGAAATGTGTAAGTCAAACTGCCCTCCCCCTGGGGCTTAGAATAAAGTAGTTCATAATATAAATAGAATACAAACAATTAAAAATTCAGGGTGTTAGCTAGCCCATATACTGTCCGTTTGACGGACTCTTCCCAATTGAAGTAGTTAAGGGGCTTTCCCAACTGCATGGGTCTACTGGAAGATTTTCATTTTTTCTGATGAGAAAAGTGCATTGCATTTGATTTTATATTATTATATCAAAGAACGTTCTATTTACTTTTTCCATTAACTATTTTCTCAAAATGTATCGCGTTTCAATTCATATTGGGTGTGTATTCACTGAAATGAAATGTACAAAACAGTGCCATCGGTGTGCATCCCCGTGTTCATTCACCGGAAATGAAATAGAAAAAACCAAGCCACTGTTGTTTGCATCTAAGAAGAAACACGTTGGAAAAAACACTATTTATTCCTACACAAAGACTTTGATCGGTCAAAAAATTTTTCCCAATTTACGTTTAACGCACAAAACTTTTTTCTGGCTAACACACTGAAATTATCATACAAACTGGGGGTATCACAATGGTACTCATGTATTCTGTATTTATTTATTCAAATTTTAGCAAGACCACTATAAAATATCATAAATAATCAGTTGGCGAAACTTCTATAGATCTTTTTTTGAGTTTTCTAGCTTCATGCATTGCTTTTAATAATACATATTGCTATGAGATATATAACATTTGGTTCAGGGCCTCTTTTAAGGCAGGGCCATAGGAAGCTCTTTTCGATTGGGGGGGGGGGGCTGAAAGCGAGGGCCGAAGGCCCGAGGAAATTTTTAAATGTAAAGTCTCTGAAGTGCCATTTCCTGGACTTTGGGGAAGATTTGACAGAATTCTGATGGTCAGAAACCAGCGTTTTAGTATGTTGAAATTTACAATTTAGTAGTACTAAATGGACGAAGGCGTATTTAATGAACTATATATTGGATAAGTTGCAGGAAAATATGGGTAATATCTTCATCCTTTGCAGTTTGTCATGGATTAAATGATAAAGGTCTGCATGATTTTGAAAATGATTATTAGCAAAGGCCCTGTAAGGATGTGTAACTGGAAGGGACATATTTAGCAGGGGACCTGGAGAAGTTCCAGTCGGCAAGTATGTGTTGCTGCAGCTACTTGCAGCATATGTATGCATAGTTTAACTAATAAGTATGCACCATAGGGCAGCAGATCAGGCCATAGTGATACCTAGGATTCTGAGACAACCGAGTCGACCATCAAAGGTGGGAGCCTCTAGAAGGGTCTGGCGGCATGCCCCCCCAGAACATTTTGGATTTCTTGAAGCTCGCTTTGAGGAGTTTTCCAACAAGAAATTAACCTTACACTAGTCCCTGAAAATCAAACCAGCTGATCTTCTGTGACTGGTCAAATCGATCCCTGCAACCATGGTGTTTTGCAACATTTTCCCACCAAATAATGGGGCAGGATATTTTCCCCTCAGTTTGTTAGTGCAGGTATTTTTTTGTTCAGAATAGCCTTGCAGGAAATTTTTTTCAAACTCAACCCCCCCCCCTCCCTCAAAAGTTATATGGTCGGCTCCTAAAAACAAAGCAGTGACAACAGTGGAGTAATGACCATGTATACAGATAGACGAGTTCTGCCTAAACAGTTCACTTGCAGTATTACAGTAATTAACTAATGAGTAAAATCATCTGGCACTAGATAGAGCAAATATTAATGTGGGTTTAATGCTTTTGAAGGCTTGATTTCAACCTGCATTTTTGTTACAACCATTTTTACCTCATACAAGGCAGTTAAACTTTATTTGGCAAAAGACACTAAATGAGTATTTGGCAACAAACTACTGGAATTTCACACAGATCCTATAATACTAGAGACCCTTTACAATTAAGTTGTTTTTACACAATGCAATATAATGCATATATAGACATGCAACTGAAAGTAACTGTTTGCAGCATTGTTCCATCTTCACTTTATACTGTCTCTATAGGATCTAAAAAGCACAGAAATGACATACCATTATTTTACAACTTTCAATTTCTTTCAAATTTATTAATTTTAATCTGCTTCTTTGGAATAAAACACCATTGAGGTCTTCTCAGAAGAGTGATAATTAATCATGACTATGACTTTAATAAGGAACATATACACAAGCAGGGATGGGATGGTATATATTCTCACAAGGCATTGCGTTTAAGCACCCACCATTAACATAAATAAGATCACTACAACGCACCTGCTATTCTTTCTACCATCCTGAATCATTTTTTCCTTTAACAAATCCCCACCTTTAACAATTAGGTCGATAGTAACAAATATGAGTCTAAAATTCACCATTTCCAAAACAATAAAGTTCATGACCAATTTCTCATGTGTTAACTTATGGTATAATTCACCGATCTCTATTAGAAATTCCCATTTGAAAGGTGTTGTCACGACTGTATTCATGATTCATCTCAGTCGCACTCAGAAACGTCGTTAAAAATATGGACACGTTTCTTTACGATTGAGTTCATTTGAATGTAAAAGAGGTCCCCAACATTCTTGAACATGTGCTTTTGGTTAAAATACCATATTTGACTTGATTTGTTCCTCTATTGCGAGGTAACAGAACAAAACAGTTGAAAATACCGTATTAATCACAATAGCTCACTCCTCAAAGTGGTCACAGTAAGATGGCGGCCGCGCGCGACTTCCGGCTTCAATTTCTGTATCTACAGTTGCGCTCTCCATATATTTATAGCTCAGTGTTCCAGTCTTATTAGAGTTCACCAGTGAACTATAAATAAACTGGAAGGCTAACTCAGGGGGGGAAATTGAAGCCAGTGCATTTTAGTTTTTCTGAGGTATGAGCAGAAATACTCAACACTGAACGTTGGGCCATATATCAAATTGAAGCTATTGAAAAACGCTATTTGGTATAAAAAATTCTAGACTTTAGCTAAAAGGGAAATGTTGAAAAACTACAAACATAATTACCGATAATTTGCCGTTTTGCAGTTGTTTTTGTATTTTTTAAATATTTTTCTTTTCGCTGAAGTCTTGAAATTTCCACACCGACGTTTGGGGTCAAGTATTTCTGCTCATAACTCAGAAAAACTATTTTGGCTTCATCAAATCATAGGCCTTCATCATAGCAGTTAGCCTTCCAGTTTATCCCCGAGCCGGCGGCGCGAAGCGCCGTGCGAGGGTACTAATTCCCCCCGGCTATTTACACCCGGGGAAACGAAAGCATTAGGGAAGTCTAAAGTTCATCAATGAGCGCGGGCGTTGGTCACCAACGATGGGTGGTCATCATCACTGATCTCAAAAATATGGCGGACTGTCATGAATAACGGACACTGATTGGTCCAATTTAAAGTTTGCATTATAACGACTGCATGACGACAGCGAAATAGCAAACATTTCTTGATTTGATGAGTTGATGATTGATAAATTTCTTGCAAATATTCTTCATTTTCTGCAAGATTTTGTAAATTTCAAGAAAGAAAGGGCGAAAGAATCAGCTAAAAGAAGGGAGCCGACGTTAACGAAGGTAAATTTGTTTTAAATATTGATTTTATAATGGCTTTAAAACCCGACGGCCTTTGCGTATATGAAACAACTAAACAAGACAGCATATACTAGATCAGTGTATCTTTAATACTGATTCCCTTTTTTATTATATTGAATTTTTTAAATAAAAAATAAAGCAAAGTTATTTGCAAGCGAGAATTTGAAATCATTTTATTGCAAACTCAAAGTTTATCGATAAAGCCATTTAATGATAAAAGGCTGTTTAGTTTTATAAAGAACACTTCAAAACGTTTTGCGACGCGTTTGTGGTTGAATTTTACCCTAAATTGAAGCGGCCTATATTACGTATAATAACCTACCCTTAAATGGGAAATTGATAATTTTGTAATTAAAAGTGATATTTTTAGGAGATTTGTAAGAATATTCTTAAAAAAATTATCATGTTACCATGACAACTGCCCTAGATACTTCATGTTCGGAAAATACAATGGTTTTGTCAGCAAGGCGAGGGTTTCTGCATGCATGTATTTTCTAGTACATATAAGTATCTACTTTATTTAAGTATGATTAAAATACTTCTATAAAACAGAAAAAGAAACTGAAAAATGCAACATGTCGCTTTATAAATATTTAGTCGCAAGATGTTCGTCGTTAAATTGAATATTTCGGTAATTATTGAATATAGAACGTTTATTAAATATTTTAAAAGTGTATTAAATATAAATTGTGAGTATTGAATATAAATTGTGTGTATTGAATTTTGCTACAATCCGGCAACCATACATATCGCTCACCAGTATGAAACGCTCCATTAACTTTTGTACACAACATATCAAGTTAGGAAAGACTTTCAGAACTAAATTGTATGTAAATTATATTCGTCCATGGAATATTAAATTCAATCGAGCAAGAAAGTTATATATTCAATTCTTGCTTGCCATGAAACAAGAGTTTTGACAATATGACGATATTTCACAAATAGCCCTAACCCAAAAATAACCCTAAATATCCTGATAATTCTAACCCTGAATACCCTTATAAAATCCCATAACTATCCCCTAATATCCCTCTGAGGGCCCCCTATACTTTTTGCGTGAAGCGTGAAGGGCTTATTTTACTTAGCCGTGAAACGTGATCGGGCTCCCTATACTTTTTACGTGAAGCGTGAAGGGCTTATTTTACTTAGCCGTGAAACGTGATCGATGATTTTCTTAATCCGTGACTCGTGAAAAGGCAAAATATTTTTACGTGAAAGCATATTGTGAAGAGGTATGGGGGGCCCTCCCCTCTGGCCTCTTCGAATGATAATCAACAAATATAAAACATTTTCCCCCTTGTTGATATACAGTTATATCAACACGAGTGGGAATTTGGAAAACGAGAAATTGTGTGGAAACACGATGCTCGAAAGGCGGAGTGTTTTCACACAATTTCGAGTTTTCCCAATTTCCACAAGTTTTCCCAATTTCCGAGAGATATAACTGTATATTAATACGGAAAAAATGTTTTATATTTTTTTATAATATAGCACAAAGAGATATAAAGAAAGAAATGTTCCGTGTTGACATTGACTAATATCAAAACGGCTCTTAGCCAATCAGCGTTCAGAATTTACAAATGCTATATTATAAACATCATCCAAAACATAGCCTGCGTAGAAAAATTTTAATTCCATATATTTTTCATTGTCGCCAATTTTCGATATTTTATATAAGGACCTCCAAACCTTCCTCATCTGAAAAATGAGGGTATAAGGAACATGTCCCAGACGTTCCGATCGGACAAAAAATAAGTATTATATGTGTGATAATTATACAGTCCCCCTGGGTGGGACGGAAAGTTAAAAATAAGGTAACAACTACCTGAGAAATACATTCAGAACTTCGAAGTAGCGACGAATGGCCTTCGCTCAAAACATCGAAGTTCTCCTGTATTTATCTCAATCCGCAGCCGTTACCGTCGCTACCTACAATGATACAAACTATTCCGATTTTCGTTTACTTCTATTGAAAGCGAATTAGTCGGAATGCAAAACATAGGTAATGAAGGTATTCAGCCATCTTTTCTCATCACAAGCTAGCTATATATATGCCAGTAAACTTTGCAAAAAGTGAAAACCGTGTCAACAATTGTTTAGAATGGAACTAGTTAAAGTTTTTCCTCCAGCATGCAATCATTTTTTTCATTTTCGTTTGATGTTGGTACTAATTTCGGTTCCATATCTAGGATAGTCTCCAGAGTGGGCTGGCCGTTTGTCTCTGGTAGAAACATGGCGACGAAAGAAGCCTGTAAACAGAAGAATGCCATGATTCCAAATGGAAGCATCGGATGAATCCTTATCTGAAAGCGAAAACGAATATTGTTATCAAATTTTCGAAAGTTTGTTTTTAAAAGTTGATACTGTTGGTCCAACATTTAGTTTGAAATAACAAATGATTGTGAATAAGATTGTAAACATTCGCAAAGTACATTACTGAATACAAATTGACCAGATAGGGCTAGTGGAAAAATAATTGTTTTCCTGTGAACAAAGATAAAAATTTCCTGCAGACTATGCACCATAGAATAACGTTTATATACATAGACCGAGGCCAAAAGACAAAGAAAAAAAGAACGAGACTAATTTCCTACTATTCGGACCGAACAAGCTCACCCAATGAGTTATTCATAGTTATAATATAGCTAAAAACAAGCCTAGAGCATTTTTCAAAAAGCCATGTTCATATCGAATTATACTAATTTACATGTTAGTATTTCATATACCAAAATAGAATGACACTATATACTAACCAACCAAATTACATAACTTGCACAAATTGAGCCCACAATTGAGGCCACTGAGCCAAAGCTTAACGCCATACTCCTGATAGTGAAATCACAAAGAATTCATTTAGCATGAGACAACACAAAAACAGGGAATGAGATACCCCATCATTTCAATATTCTGAGATCTTTTTGCATAATGTCTAAATTTTAACTTTCACTGATATTACTAACCTTATGAATGTTGGGAACAGCTCTGCCGCCCATACATACGAAGACGAGGAAGCGTTGGTGATAAAGAACTTTGCAAATATTGCCATTATAATTCGAAAGATTGTATTCGTTGATGCTGAAGAAAGAAATATATGTCCCTATCATGCTGAGGTACTGGAACGAGTATAACCTCGCGATCGTCAGTTAATTATAGTGGGGCGGATAAGCGTATAATTTTGCAATAATAGACCTTTCCAATGGACCTATTCCCTATTGAACAAAATTTTCGGATCCATATTACGCACGGGAAATTAATACCGCGCTTTCTGAAAAAAGGTATCAATTTCCCGTGCTTAATACAAAATGACTGAAAAACTGCAAATTTCGCAGGGCTTTATTATCCGCATTTTACAACATTTCGCAACGAAACTTCGGAATATTACTATTTTTGTGATGCTCTTTCAAAGCACCGTATTGACAGTACGTGTAGACTTTGACACAAGTATGGATATCCGATATGGAGGCCAGAGGCGTAGCATGGGCTGGGGCCGGATGGCCGCCCCCCCTGGCAAATTTGGGGGGGGCTGTGATAAAATGTATTGTATAGAAAAGGGAATCCTTGATTATATAGGTTCATGCTGTCAGTAATGCAAAAATTCTGTAGAATATATGCTTTGCTGGACATCGGTGTGAAACCTAAAATCACTTGTTCTCTTATTTGCAGCACACAGCTTGAAACACATACCTTTTCTACCCTAATTATTTCAATATGTATTAAATGAGGGTTAGATGAAGTTTAAACCAATCTCTTTTTTTTTCAAGTGAATTTTTAATGTGGGCTCGGCAGTGGCGCCGTGGCCGGAGGGGAGACCCATCGGAAAACTGTCAATACAGAGTTTGAGCAAGACAACGAAGTACGAAGAAGAAGGTGTACTCGCCAATTTTTGCCGTCTGCACATTATCTTGCGCATACTGAATTGGACGTCACTGGTGGTTGCTCAACGTGTCTTCCCATGTGTCGCTGTTTATGCATACTGACCCTAATTCTTGTCCTGACCCAGAAAAAAACAGCGAGAATGAAACTGTATCCCGTCTGTGTCCTTCTGCCTTCCTTCTGAACGAAATTCAAAGCGAATTTTGCCAAAATTGTTGCGAATTTTTCGTTGTGAACGAAGGCAGAAGAACGAACACGAGATATGGATTCATGTCTCGCTGTTTTGTCTTCATCAGGGTAAGGATTTGGGTCAGCATTTATAAATAGCTAGATATAAATCTCTAATCTGTCTTCACGCCTGACCCAGGCGGTGATCGCACTACGACCGCAATGCATTATTTTGGATATTTTCTTCAAGATGGCGGATTTCGAGCACGATGAAAGGTATGTTGGCGCTCTATTTTCCGCTACGTTTTAAAGTTTAAACTTTTTGTTTTTTCTTTAAAAAGGAAGTTGCATGTAATATTGTTATGCTGTGTTACTTTTCAAATCGATAATTTTTGGAATTCGATAAAAAATATCATTTGATTGTAAGCTCGTGTATTTTTCCCAAATACACTGGTCTGTTTACTTTTTTATGTCACAGGTTAACCGTTCACACATAACATTTTTAAAAAATTGCAATTGGCATAATCTATGATCATTATTTGTGACCATATTTAATGGCGCCCCTTGGCGCCCCTCAATATTGTATCTTTTTTGGGCTTTTAAATCATGATATTTCCTTTGCTAATTTCAGGTCTTCTTGTCCAGAGTTCATATTCTCCAGCTATTTTGGGGAAGCGTTCGTGCATCCTAGAGGGGAATACGCCAGGCAAACAAAAAACAAAGCGGCAAAGAAATAATAAACGCAAAAGAGAAGCACAAAAACATTTTCAAATGGAAAAAAATAATGTGTGTCAAAATGAGCAAGACTGTTGGACAACCGAAAAGGCGAAGAACAGACTTTAATAATGGGACTGTTTCATATTTGACAGGATCAATGACTGTCTGGTGGTGAAAAACCATTTGTGCTTGTTGGAACTGTTTCTTGTATTATAGTCAGTTGGAGCAACTGGCAATGACTCAGTAAACTTTTCCTTGGTTAATTTTAGATGTGTTAAAATTTTTGCCATTTCCACCAAGTTACCCATACCATTTGTTTGTAGCTTTAAATAGCACCTGAAACATGACATGCATACTGTAGTCCACATTGCTGCAGAATGCCTTACTACGGATGTAAATATAACACAGATACATGTACAGTCATAATACAGATAGTGTCTCACACAAATTTAGGCCCTAAAAAATCCCTGAAGAAAACCCTGTTCTACCTTAAACACAAACTGGGCTGGCGTGGATGGAAGTTCTAAGAATGCTGCTATGAGTTATGTAGAAAAACTGTTACTGTCGTCCCAATTGAAGTGTTCCTCAAATATTGATTCAATACATTATAATCCTCGGGCTGACCAATTCATACGAATTCAATATTTTTTTACTTCCCGTGCGTTTCCTATTGGTCAATCGGTTCTGAAACGAAATCTAATTGGCTCATTTAAAAGCGACAGGAAGTTGATAAATTTTCTATCAAATGAATTAGTCAGCCCGAGGTAATGTATTGAATCGATATTTGAGGAACACTTCAATTGGAACGACAGTAAAACACTGTAAACCCACTACACTTGTGCTGTTTATAAAGCACATACAATCACAATAAATTTGTTATTCATATATTTATAACACTTCATTGAACAATGTTTTACTAAGTCTATACATGACCACCATCATCATTGAAATGCAAACAAAAACATCCCATTTTAATTATTGTTATACATGCTGTACCTTTTCACACTGATATAGAGCATTTGCACATGACGTCTAATTTTAATTAGACTCTTATCTGGAACACCAACATAGCCGCCATGGCTTTTGTTGAGTTGGCCCGTGGGGAATGAGTGCAAACGCTCTATACAACAAGGTCTGAATCTTCAGACACTGCAAAACCGCAGCCTCAAATCAAAGCGTCTGGGGACGAGGCTGGCAAAATGCAATTTGTGCATCTGCTTCATATGGTGCCATTATGTACTGAATTGAATATCTTTTTCACAGCAAAGCTGAAAGGTGAATAATAACAAATTGTTATTTACTGCACGCAACTAGTTTCCAATTTACTCTATAATTTTTTATGCATTTGTACATAAAAAGAGTGTCATTTAAAAACAAATTGATCAAACGTCTGATTAGCAAGGCATTGGCATGGATTATAAATTGTTGTGACATTCCCGTGCACCAATAAAATTCTAGTGAGTGGAAGGCTAGAACAAAATTCTTGAAAACTAGATAGTATGTGGTACAATTTAAACCACATCATTTTTTTCTCTCTCCATATATTGTTATGCAAGGTGTTTTTCTGCCAGCTGCAAATTGCCATTGCAATGATTTTTTATTACTTAGGCGCTACTGTATTTTTATGATCTTGGATACTAGAGACACCCAATCCACCCGAGACAACTTTACTGCACATTTAATCTCTTCCTACGAGAATGGCTCTAAGTACGAGATTGTGACTCCTGAAACATGCAGTTATTTGTTTGAAGGTCTGGGAATCAGGAAATGAAAAGTTATCCATGGAAGCTGAGACAAACATGTAAACACATGGACAAAAGTTGTCCCTCCTACAAGGGTAACCCTGTTTCGTAAACAGGGTGTCCCTACTGCCAGGGTGACCCTACCAGACCAGCCGAGTTGAAAACTTTCCATATAAACACTAGTACTTGCGTTTAAATTAACAAATATAAAACATTTTCCGTGTTGATATATAGTTATATCAACACGAGTGGAAATTGGGAAAACGAGAAATTGTGTGGAAACACGACGCCCGAAGGGCGAAGTGTTTTCACACAATTTCGAGTTTTCCCAACTTCCACGAGTGTTGATATAACGATATATCAATACGGAAAAAATGTTTTATATTTGTTTTATAATATAGCAATGTCAAAAGCCCAAAGAATAAGAAAAATTTCCGTGTTTACAAGCGGCGGAAAATTTCCCGTGTTGACATGGAGTTATATCAACACGGCTCTTAGCCAATCAGCGTTCAGAATTTACAAATGCTATATTATAATGTTATATAATGAATGTAATTTTGCCTCTCCCAGGGTAGATCGGAGGGTAGAGAGTCCCTAGTACCCGAGATCATATAAACAGCACCTCAGTCACATTATTATCCCCTACCCCTCAACATCTCCAGTCAATGGTGCATAATATTTACAATATTTGTGGTCATACCAAAAATTGAATTGGCATGGCATACAAAATATGTGAAGATTATGATTTTCATCCCAAAGTTTTTAGGTAAGATTGTGTAGTCAAACCATAGAAATTGTGACCTATGATAGCATTGGAACTACTAAGATGATGAGCAAATTCTATTAAAGCATATTAAACTAAAATTACATGGAATTTTACAGTAGCTTGTATATGTATTAAATAATATAATATTGCAGAAAAGTTTCCGTGTCTATGCATACTTTTACCGTATGTCCACAACCCTGAAACATTAGCATAATAATTATAATAACAATACAGTCATAAGAACAATAAAGTAAATAGAATATACATAAGTTTAGCGATTGAAACACTGCACAAACCAATAAGTAAACATATAAAAAAATTAAAACAAACATACTTGCGATCATCGCCAAACCTTTGAAACTCACAGGATGCATCGACTACACAAACTTTTCCAGAAGTTCTTTGACATGTACTGCCACTGTGGATTCTTTCAAGAAGGGCAAAAGACAATTTTATATACCCATCGCTCGGCCGTGCACAGTGTTTTCACCTCGAACGTCAGAACGCAAATGAGTGAATTTTTTTATTTTACTCATGATGCATTGCGGTCGTAGTGCGATCACCGCCTGCGCCTGACCCTAAATTCAGAATGCGTAAGATAATGTGCAAGACAGGCAAAAATTGTCAACCACGGTCCACGTCGTCGTCGTCCAACTTCGTTCTCTTGCTCAAAATCTCTAATGTTAGTCGGAATCTTCGTGTTGAAGCATCACAAAAAGTGATACGGAAATTGGGAAAAGTGCTACGAAAGCAATTGTAATGTTATTGTCCAGAAAATTTTTTTACCGAAAAAGATGTCACTGGGGAGGGGAGGGGAGGGGGAGATTTAAAATGTTGTGTGGTCCACAAAATTTTTTCTTGCGCGAACTTTGCGTCTCGAGTCATTGGCGGCTTGGCCCCACCTGGGTTATTGCCGGCCTACTATGACCGAAAATCCTGAATACGCCTCTGATGGAGGCATCTGTGAAATTAACGCTGATAGCTAAACATTTTGAATTTCTGATATATATTTGAATATAAATTTCTATTATATATTACCGATAAAAATTTTAAAACCTAAGTTAGCTCACAGAAAAAAATAAGTTGTATGGTTCAAAAGTACACAACAAACTGTCTATAGAACATTAGAGCAGTTTTTTATTTGCCAAGTTGTTTCTAAATTAATCAGTTTCAAAATCCCACAAAATAGATAAAAAAGGTGCAAAAACTGGCACTAGCTTCAAATCGCCTTTTTAACAGTTTGCAGCTCCAATCTCGAAACCACATCCTGCAATCCACTGTGGAGTCTGGCTGAAGCTCTGGGAAACACCAGCGAAAGTCGGGCTCTGATTGGTTCTTTTTCAAGTGCTAATTATTATTCAAACTGTTGGTCTATTTAGTGATTCAAACATCGCTTAATTAATATAAAGTTTATTTCTCTTTGTGTATTATCTTTAAACATATCAATGAAACACACAGCATAATAAACTTATTAAACTTCCCTAGCTTCTCATATGAAATCAATAGACTATTCTGATATTAATATGCCAATAACAAAATGTAGAATTACAACAGTGCAGCATTACCATATAAGGTCATGATAAGCCGTTGCCTACAATAATTTAAAATAGCACAACAACCCATGATTTACTGGAATTAAACAAGTTAAAATAAATCACTACCAGTATCTTACAACATTTCAAAACCATGCCAAGTGTTCTTTAAAGAATTAAAGTCGTAATAAGCTTAAACAACGACATAATTCATGTTTGACGGCAGTCATGTCTATCTATAAATGTCGAGCGGAGTACAGGATCCAAAAGCACTGATTTTTGTGCAAAAGTCGCCGTCGTTTTTCAGAGCCACAGCAAGCCTCCACAGAGGATTGCATTCTCGGGTTTCAAGATTGGTTGCAGCTCAGGAAGTATTTGGAAAATCAAGAACTGCTTTAATGTTCTATAGACAGTTTTTTGTGTACGTTTCTACCATACAACTTATTCTGTGAGTTACTTTGGAATTTTAAAATTTCTACCAGTAATGTCAGTAATAGAAATTATAATAAATGTCAGAAATTCCACATTTTTTACTATTAGCGTTAATTTCACAGATGCTCCATATCTGATATCCATACTTGTGTCAAAGTCTACACACTGTGTCAATATGGCGCTTTCTTCACAAAATGCAAAATACTTTTACTTATCCTCCCCACTATTAGTGCGAAATTTATTTAGAGTTAACTAAAAAAGTGCATTTTACACTGTAGATTTCACTATATGGAGCCAGATTTAAACCCATGGATGGTTCCATAGGCATTCAGCAAAAGCGAAAGAACAATACAAGTTTTCTTCTGGCACAGGCAATCCATTACAAAATAAAACGGTTGCTTTGGATGATTGTTCTGTTACCTATAATACACTTGATTTTAAAGGCTCAGTTTCACCTATTGAGCGATGCATGGTATTTAATTGCGATAATTTACTACTGAGCATATGCGTAGTCCAAATTGAAAAGTTCCGGTAGAAAATTAATAAGACTGATTCAATGCGGGGCCCCCTTCAATGACATCGCTCTACAGATGAACAAAACCTCGACTAATAAAAACCTCGACTTTCTCTCAGTTAAATTAACGGGCGAATAAACACGCACTCGTGAGTTTTTTAAAGACCTCAAATAGCACTCATCCTTCGAACTCGTGCTATTTTGAGGCCTTTGAAAAATTACTTACTCGTGCATGATATATCCAAATTACACTCGAAACCATGCTATTACCTATACCAAGTTACTTTACCAAAAATTAACTAGTTACCGTTACAGTTACTCAAACATGTAATGATTATTTAATTATAATTATCTTGTAAGTATGTATACTGACCTCCTTTACTTTGGTCAGAAGGAATCATGACAACAGCAATTGAGGCAACACAAGCACAAAATAAATTAAGTACTGCAGTTTTCTTTCGGCCATACCTATATGTAATACGAAAATGAATTAAGAACCTTGCATTAATAATTATCCCCAAGCCAACGGCGCGGAGCGCCGTTCCGGGCGTTAGCCCGGGGCGAGGTTACTAATTCCGCCCGGCTATTTACACCCGGGGAAAGGAACGCACTAGCGAAGTCTAACGTTCATCATATATCGTGGGCGCATGGCTATGATCCAAGGGTGGAAGTCCTCACTGATCTAAAAAATATGGTTGTTCGTTTGCCAGGAGTCGTATAAGCACACTGAGAATATTAAAGCAAGATTTTAATTTTCAAAACATATACTTGGAAAATCACGTTTCACACAGTGAGCTTTGAAGCAATTTTTGTTTCAAAAAATGAGAAGAATTGATTTACTATGGAAAATCGTGAAATATAGGGCAAGATTGCGTGGAATGTTTAATGTTTTATGAATTTTGTTAATTGCTTTAATAATTCATTGCGTAAAACGTAACATGCACTGCTGTTTTCCTTTTCAATCAAGCTGCATGTAAGTTTCCTAAATTATCCTGCTTAATTTAAGAAAAAAAGGTAAATGTGAAGGAGAGAAAATTAAATTGAAGATCTAACTGAAATTACTCAACAATTTGAAGTAAAAACAGTTTATCGGCAAAAGCAGTTTAGTTATTGAAATGAACATTTCAAAACATTTTACGAAGCGATGGAGGTTAAGTTTTAGATTAAATCAAAGCTCACAAAATCTAGAACAACATACCTACAGTACATATTTCGGAAATTAATTGTTATATAGTTAAAATGGGGAAGTTAAAATATATAGTAAAAATGAGCAATTATCGTGTTGCCACAGAATATTACACACATATATTGTTTTGTGGCGTAAGCGCCATTCGTCACTCAGCAAGCACCGTAAACAGAAGCAGTCCCCCCTTGGAAATACTCAAAATGGCGCACATCCAGGGGGATGACTGTTTCTGTTTACGGTACTCGCTGAGTGATGAATCATGACGAATAGCAGTCACACAAAAAACAATGGAGATGGACTTCTGTATAGTATTTTGTGGTGTTGCCATGGCAACACTGACGTAAACGCGAGCCTGCGTTCAGTGTTGATCAATTACTAATATGCATGTCATGCTAAATCAATGTTTGGAAGATATGGGCGAGGGGTTGCTGCATGCATGTATTTCTAGTTATGCATATAATATATTTATTATATAAACATAAGTGTTATATAGAGTATTTGGCCACTGAGAAAAATCGTATTTAATTAAACACACGTAAAAATACGATATTTTTACGTTTGAAAATATCATTTGTTGGAAAACGCATTGCCACGGACGTTTTATTGTTTTTCACTGAATTTTGTTTATATAATAAACAGAAAAATACATGGGTGCTTGGAAATACCAGATTTATTTCTCGTGTTGAACATGATATTTCACTCGTTTGCTGCGCTCACTCGTGAGATATCATGTTCAACACTCGAAATAAATCGTATTTCCGCGCACCCATGTATTATTCTCTATATAATGGGTAATGAATAGTGACATCAAGAATTGTTCAGGCCGGGGTCAATCTCAAGGAGGATAACATTGACTGAGGTCTGAAAGTTAACAATTGTCGACCTCGCCCTACGGTATTTTGCCTCCACGCCAGAAGGCCGGCAAGAGTGGCCCTAGTATCAACTGGTCACATGACACCCAGAATTTCTGGATGTTTTGATACTATAATTTCAGATCGTTAAAAAAGTTTAAAAAAGTAAAAAAATAACAAAAGTGATAAAAAGTTTTAAAAAGTTAGATTGGGGTTAGGGGTTAGTGTTGGGGTTAGGGTTAGGTGTTAGTCATGTTAGGGGGTTAGGTGCCGCGAATTTATCATCTTCATAAATTCAGACGTGTTTAACAATTTACTCATATAGTAAATTCAAAGGTGGACTCATGCTGGATAATTTGTGTGAAATTAATCTTTGTAGTTTGATTACGAATTATAAATATATGAAGTAATTAACCATTTGCCAACTTGTTCACCCAAAGACGTTATGTTAAGGCAGTATGCTTGAATGTATAATTCTTCTTATATCCGTGAGTCTGACGATAACATAGCACGGCAAGTATAGGACGTAAGTGAATCTTAAGTATACTTTGCCGTATAATTCGACGACAAAAAATTTAAAGCACCAGAATTGTTTGAATAAATTATACTGCAAAGGAATTAATGCGTTTTTTAACAGACCAGTGGTATTGTAGAATTGATCACGCCATCCCAGTCTCCAGAGCCATTTTCGCCGACCTTCAGCCGTGGAGGCAAAATACCCAGGGAACAAGATTGAACTATTATTGAATGAGGTTGAGTATGGTTTGAAGAATTATCAACACTGAAGTTTGTGTTATGTGAAATTCGATTTCAATAATTGTTTTAATCTCCGAGTAAACGCGAAGCGCCGTTCCGGCCATAAACCCGGGGTACCAACATCTCGGGTTGATTCTATAATAAGTGCATGCTTGCAATATACATTTACTAACAAATAACAATCGTATACCAACTTATGATAATGTTTCCTTACTGTGACACGCGAATACACGCATACCTCTTTCGGAAATGAAATTCAATAGCCTATTCAACACACGCGTGAGTGAGTAACGTTAGACAATAACTTCCATAATTATAGACAATACTGTTAAAGTCATTAAAACTCCTTCAAAACTGCGGTTTTATTTATTTTGATGCCCTTTAGGGTTTTGTGAAAAGCGCGAGCATTTTCTACATGATCATCAGAAACCCGATGGCGAATAGGGGAAATTAGCTAGATTGTGTTTTGTTTTGTCCCGGAGTATTGTCTATTGACCACACACATATATGTATGTGATGTGTACATCATAGGTTATTTTGATTCGCGACTCGTTAGTGGAAAGCAAATATAAAAACGTGGTTTCATGCTTTATAAAACACAAAATGTGCAAGCAAGGCTGACTAATACTCGGGAAATCGCGATGATTTCCGACGATGTCCGGTTTCGATACGAGTGTAACCGGAACGCGTTCCGCCGATGCGTTCCGGTAACAGTGGAACGCAAATAGAACGCAAATGGAACGCGAATGGAACGCGAATGGAACGCAAATGGAACGCATTTAGGAACGCATTTAGGAACGCGTTCCGAACGCGTTTTCTGTTAGGTTATTTCTGAGCAGTATTGTATGATTATATTTGCTAGGAAACCGGAAGAAACATTATTCTGCAATCCAAAAATCGTTATTTTAATGAGACCAGCAACAATTCTGTGGCGGTAATTTAGTGACTATAAAACTCTTAACTACATTTTAAACGAGGTTACATATAGTAAACAAGGTTAATATCACAGGAACCTCGCGCCGTCTGGGCACGACATGCCCTCAAGGTATCGGGTATAGTGCCAAGGAGACTCACATGTCATCAGCTAACTCATAGCAAATTGGAGCAGTACTCTGCTTAGAGAAGAAGCCAAATTTTAATTATTTTTTCTCTATGACAACTATTGACTATCGGTTTAATTTCCGCCAATTAAAGGATAGGTCCACGTGATTCGGACCTGAATCCAAGTAACTCAAATCTCTAGATCTTTAGCGGACCGCGTCTGCACCTAACCATCCACACGGGTAAGTTGGGGGACGACAGGTTTTAATTATCCGTTTTGTAGTTGAATAATCATAGTTAACTTCAACCACACAGTTAAGTCAGTTGTATAAAAATACACAGCTTGTGAACCTTAAAAATGTTTCAAAACCGGTTCTATAACAGTCATGGTATTAAGGAAAATACAAGCGAAATTTTGATAATTATAAGAGGACGAAACAAGACCTAAAAGTCCAGAACTTAAAGATGTTTTCAAACTGTAAGCAATATGATTTCCCGAAATGTTACAGTAGCTTGCGCTAGAAAGACGTACAAAACAGTAACACACGCAAAGTAATCGTTCCTAATGTCGTTAAAATCAATGAAATACATAGCTCTGAAAAACAATAGTGTCACATAAAACGCAGGACAAAATTAGTTAACCTTAAAATTTTGTCAAACTCGGAAGCTATAAGGAAATTTGTTTTTGGTGGGAAATGTCGGCTGAGCACAGAAAAAGACCATTTAAAGCGGGAAGAACCTAAAAATATTACTGCTATAGGCAATAAATAACATTTTGGGCAAAGAGACACTTAAAAGATGAAGAAAACATACGATTAAGTGACTACAAGCCGTTGAAATATCAACGGTTTTGCTTGTAATGTGCTCAAAGAATGTGCTCTTCTGTTCCGCCTGTCTTCGTGCCACATTTTGTGGCAAATGACGGCAGATTTATCATTAAAATACGGTTTGAATTTTGCTCCCTACCATTAAACGTCTTCAGGTCATATTTTGTAGTCTTTTTTATTCTTCAGGGGGAAATTTCGTACAAAAAATTTCCCCCCAAACCTTTGCAAAACAAAATTTTCCGCCATCTTTTTTCTCAACCATGGCCCGTTACATAATGGTCCATGGTTGAGTAGCCAATCAGAATGCTGGATTTATAATAATCTTTGTTTGAGTGTGTACTAAACAAAACGAAAGGAACAAATTTACATTTGGCTACAATTCAAGTATTCAGTTCTGGTTTCATAAACAGTCGTGACTGTTTTACATTAATTCTTGGCGAAAAATTGAGGAGAATATCGAAAAAGCACTTTAAAACATTCCTATACAGTAGTTGAGGTATTCTTCTTGACTTTGAGCTTTTTATCCTTGCTTGGACTTTGGTAAAAAATCTTTTTCGAAATTGTAGTTTTTCGTAACTTCCCTCTTTAACATTGCGACTTGCATCTGCCGATGAGAATTTACATCGGGCCAACGAGATTTTAGACAGTGAGAGAGCATTATTTGCCCTTATTAGGAAGCTTCAATTTGTCCCTCGATTTCCCCCTCAAATCCCACTTTATATTTTATAATCTCCATAATTAGCTTCTCAAAACTTCTCAATAAAACAATAATGGAAGCAATGCCCACCTGGATTTTCAATCGCCATGCATCCTCCCTGTGAAAATTTTCTGACAATAAAAAACTCTTCTACCACTATCGCTTTGGTTTTTTGGTGAAAACAGAGTATATTTTTATAAGGACGATTTCACGAATAAACACTGATATACAATTCAAAATTAGTAAACAGCTACACTTTGGTTGAGCGTAGATACCGCACCGAAAAACAGCCTAGTGATTTGTGCGTTGTTTTCTTGTTAATTTTCACTATTTTGAATCGAATTCCCGCCTGTTTGCAAAATACGAGTACACAATTGTGTTAAAACTGCCAGTCAGCGGTCGTAATCATCTTTTACATTATGTAATTTTGTGTTAAACTGGATTATTTAAGACTTAACTATATACCACTAACTGCATTTTGTACAATGCCGTTAGTTAAGGACGCTTTCCATTTAATGGCCTGACAGGTCAGATCTGGTCTATGTTTCTCAAGCATGTAGCGAAAATCAACCTCATTCTAATGTTATCTAAATTTTCCAGTCAGATAGGTCCGAAGCCCAAGTGTTTTGTGTTCCATGCAAAATTTGACCGTTCTGACCGGTCTGCCGTGTTAATGGAAAGCGCCCTTGGGGCGCAGTTAAGTAACTACAGTTAAAGATAACTACGGTACTTAGCGCAATCTGGAGCTATCTGTATGTGTATGTGTATGTGTATGTATATATATGTATGCATACATATATATTCATGTTGTAAATAATTTTTATGGTTGGAATAAAAATTGTGGTTGTCGTTGTTGTCATTTGTCTTCTTTTTGGCATTTTCACAGTTTACAAGACTTTGTGAAAATGTATTGATTATTCTGAAATAAAACATTGATTTTTGCATGTAGATTCTATTTTTGCTTCTATTCATGCATTGTCACAAATAACATGGTTGTAATTCTAGGCCGCATGAAGTCCAGCCAAACTTCAACCCATTTGGCTCTGAGTATGCGCAAGAATCTACCAACCCTGAAAAGTAATATTTAGGGGCCGGTTGTAAAAAGACGTAGTTACACATACACATACACATACACATACACATACACATACACATACACATACACATACACATACACATACACATACACATGCATACACATACACATACATGTACACATACACATACACATACATGTACACATACACATACACATACACATACACATACACATACACATACACATACACATACACATACACATACACATACACTGCATACATATGTTTTTCTTTTTTTTGAGATTGACTAGGTTGGTATTGGTAAAAACCTAGAAACACCATACGGGCTTATCAAGATAGGCAACCAAATACTCAGAGACAATAAAAGTCCTTGGACTAATTAATAAGTTTTATCGGTCGGTCGGAATAGTGTACAGAATACTAACTCAACAAAAACCCCCCAAAAAGCACGAAAACACAAATACACAAATAGAGAAACAATTTTTAAGTTAATTAATAATAAAAGGTGCACAAGCTACTATCGTTTAGTAGCTTTCGATATATGAAAATTTTATTTTTTTTTTAGAAAAGCCAGAGATGAGGTCTTGATTTTACTATCGATAGAATTCCATATTTTAGGCCCTTGAAATCTAAAATTAAACATACCATAATTTGTTCTTGGTTTAGGAAGAGAATAAGATTGGTTAAATGATAACCTTGTATTATAATTATGTAATTTGTCAACAGGCACAAAAAAGAGGTTAAATGTAGAAGGCAGGAGAGAGTTGTGAAACTTAAACATAAGAACAGCAGTGCAAATATTGACTAGATCTTGTAATTTGATGAGATTTAAATATTTAAAGAGAGGACTACTACGACTCTACAAACACTGTTTGAGATGTATATTTGAAGGAAAGGTCGTTAGAAACGTAGTGAGGGAGGGGCGGTGTAATAACATTCTCATATAACGAATGACATTTTCTTTTCTTTTCATAGCGTTTTTTTTTTGTACGCTACGATGCGGTTGAAGTTGAAAACGGACTTAAGTATTAATAAAAATAAACATTTAACACATGTACCTATCTGCCGCCCAGACCGTACCAAAATTTGAAGGAAATTCAATAACACCAGTCAAAGCAAACGTCACATATGGATTCCAACCAAGATCGACTGAACTATAGGATACACCATAGTACACCAAACCCACAGTTGCCCTAAAACAGTATGATGATGCTGTGATGTACGTACGGGTCAGACGGGGACTGGGGAGAGAAATTCAAGATGGCGTGACTGTGTGAAACCTTAAATTGCAATCTCGTTCGATCCTTGGGAAGGAAACGAAGGCTCTGGGATAATCCGAACTAGACCGTACAAAAAACTGGATGTCGAACGACTTGCGCGTGCGTTGGCGAAAGCAAAACCAACTGTTTAAAATATTTTATTGTTTCCTCTATAAATGATTATTTTTTCGGGTTTTGGTGGAAAATATGTTGATGTTCTTCGTAGTGGTGTATTAGCGAGTGAATTAGGACAATATTGCGTGTGAAACAGGGTCAGTATAGAGCCGGCAGGAGCCGTGAAGGGTGCTGTTGTCGAAGAAAAATGTAACAATTAATTGTATCTTGTCCTTTCTCTGCAGTGTCAGTTTGAAAAAGCTTTAAATGTAGAGACATTTGTTGTTCCTCGATCATAATTTAGCCGTTTAACGCTCGACGTCTGTTTCTAGTGGTTGAACGAGCGCGTGGAAAAGCCAATTCAAGGACCAAAACAATAAGAATGTGCTGTATGTTACAATACAGTATAGTAAATTCTGTAACTATACCTGAAAATAGTCTCAGTTCTAATATTATTAATTTGGTTATAAACCTCGATAATGTTAAAGATTTCAGAAGATTTGTAAATCAGAGGAACTAGAGAAGTTCAGACTTGTGTCTGGAAAAATAGAGTTGGAGCAAATTTAGAATTTTACTGTAATTATGGAAAATTAATCTCATCAATGGCCGGAAATGTACCTGACTTGCATGTTCATTACTGCCATTAGTTAAGTACTGTACTAAATAGGGACATTCAAGGTTTGAGATATTTTATAATAACAATTGAAAATGCTAGCATTTTGGCATTCAGTGCGTTGCTAGAAGGGGTGTGGGGGTGGTACACATACACCCAAATCATCAAGCATTCGGCAAACTACTCTATCGCAGTCGGGAAATAGTTTTTGTAGTCGGCATTACTTGAATTGGATAACAATGTGTGAGTTACACTGATTAAAAACTAATATTTAGAGCCAAAAGTTTGTAAAATTTACAAAAAATAAAGGAAATGTTTTATGAATGATGGTACGTTAACCAGAAAGAAAGAGAGAATACAATGTCTGGAAAATGTTTGTGTTGCCCCCAGAGTAGGTGATATATGTTGTTTTATAATGCAACTAACAATGTTTTCATATTGCAGTTGCAATCAAACTAATAGGGTAATTCATGACAACATTTGTCATTACTATGCTAATAAAAATATTTCTGTGATTATGCGTTTATATCAAACAATTTTGTATCCTCGAAAAATTATCCCTGTACCTTAGGTGGTTCTCTGCATGGGGTCATTACCAGGGGGGAGCTGATGAAAGATGAATTGTGGTTTTGGTAGCTTATCACTATCATTCAATATTTTTGTCAATAAAAAATTCTTAAAAAATATATTAAATTATTTAGTAAATTATATTTGGACGGTCACCCAATTTGGAATTCATACTTTGTGACATTTGGATCAAAAGCCAAAAGGTTTATGAAGTTCTTTTGCAAAGAAGCTGATTAATTAACACAGTCTCATACAGAGGGCAGGGCTTCTTTGAATTTCTGTGTGGACAAGATTAACTAATATGTTGGATTGCCAATTTGGCATGTTGCACTACTCAATGACTCAAATCAAGCAAAAACATTAAATACTTTATACGCTACTTTAGCTATATGCAGACTTGAATACAAGTTTGACAATTTATCAGTGATTGTGAAATTATTGCATATTTAGAGAAGAAACGTTGTTTTGAACACTTCAATAAATAAATTGTAACAGCAAAAGATTCATATGCACCCATATTACTTGTAATCCTGTCCTATATGGCACATAAAGGAAAGGATTACAAGTTACAGGTTAAAATGAGTACGTGCTTCCTGTATTAACTGTGAAAACCTAGGGAACTACATAGTCCTGTACTTTGAAAAGTTTACAATACAGTATATGCATTAAATATTAAAATATAATTATAAGAGTAAATCCCAAGATTGGATTTATTGAAACTGGTGTGTAGTGAATAGTTCTTTATAAAATAATAAACGTTTCTTCCAATTAAGTAACAAAAAGTTATTAAAGTTATTAACCATTTCTAACACAAACATAATAATATGTATGTTTGCAAAATATAGCAATTTTGATACTCTAGTCACATAGTACATTGTACTGCATTCTATGCATATAAAACTACAGAAAAGTGCGAAAACGTGTACAACATAAATGTGAACAAAGTTTTCATGCTCTATTTAACAGTTGCAAATTACGCATTAGCAATACGTTTCTTTACATTCCCTTTGTAGTATTTATATATAGCACTGCTCTCAAAATACAAAGACAATATATTAAGTTTTGCTATATTGCAACATTCCATTGTATCATTAAGTTTTGATATATTGCAACATTCCATTCCAACAACCAATCATATACATTTCTTCTTTGGATTATCCCAGAACCTACGTTTCCTTCCCAAGGATCGCAGGCTCGGGGAACGAGCAGTGTTGCGTAAATTACTTTGAATTTGTACTTGAGTAAAAGTATAAGTAATAGACAATAAAACGACTTGAGTAAGAGTAAAAAGTACTAGAGGCAAAACGTATTTAAGTAAAAATTACAAAGTATCCTTAAAAAATATTTGAAGTACAAAGTAAAAGTAAAATTACTATTGTCAGTAGCGTGTAGAGGGGGGGGGGGACTTATCCATTGACGGATTGAGATACAAAAACACATTATAAATATGCAATATTTGACGGCATGGTCTACTTTTCAGACCCCGTTGAAGATATAAAAAATACATTGAATAAATAATACTTATAAGTAAGCTACAAACGAGAGATCCCAGACCCATGTAGAGATCCTATTACCTATCCCAAAATTAAAATATATTACGTAAAATTAAACAAAATTTAGAAAGTAACGAAATACGTCGCCATGCACAAAATGAAAATAACGAAGTAATACGTTACTTCTTAAAACGACTTCGTTCCAAGTAAAAGTACTCCAGAAAAATTTTACTTTAATTTTTTACATGCTGACTTATCAAAAATAGTACTCAAGTACAGTGACGAAGTACATTTACTTTGTTACTTGAAACCACTAGGAACGAGATTGCTTAAAATGTAGATTGAATAAATCCGTTCAGTTAGAGGACATTATATTGGCGATGAAAACTAAAATGGAAAAATCTCGCGTGGGCAAAATAATAATAAAGAACTCAAGTAGACAAAGTAATAGGTCCTTGACACGGGAGAGGGGGAGGTGATTTTAAAGAATAAAGCAAAGGCACCCAGTATCGCAAAACCAACAATCAACATTTAATTTGTTTGCCATGTTCATATCGCGGGATTTGTTCGGCGTGCTTTGAAAAACTCGTAAGCAAGATTTTACAGGGCTGTAAAATGCTGCATTTCGTATCCTTTATTCATATTTTTTATTTTCATATATATATCCTTAATAAATTGTTAGAATTGTTATTAGTGCAATCGAAGTGGCTTGTATGGAAGCATAACGAGGCCGAATTGTTGACAAACGACACGGGATGACACAACGGTGCCGAATTTGAACAAAGTTGAGGTTTTACCTTGTCGATGGTTAAACAGCTAGAATCTACTTACTGTCGTTCCAATTGAAGTGTTCCTCAAATATTGATTCAATACATTGCCTCGAGCTGACCAATTCATTTGATCAAGTTCTTCGAAATATTCATACACTTCCTAGTATAATTGTAAACTTCCTGCTGAATAGTTTGCCTGCCCAAAAACTACACATTCTGAGTTCCGCCCACCGGAGTACCGAACGCATGGTCCCGCCCATCTTAATGTATTTATTTTAATTATTTGTCAAACTCACGTATTTGCACCAGAGCAAATATACGACTTCGAAGCCTGTTCTAAACGTCGCATTTTACATGCGCCGAATGCATTCAACTCAATGCCAATGGATAATGAGGCATTTCAGCTGATTATCTATTGTTTTGAATGCATTTGGCACATGTAAAATGCGACGTTTAGAACAGGCCTGACGTTTCATATCTTCGGTTCATTCAATGCTATGAAGACAAAAATGCCACGTTCGATCCAGTGTAACAATATGTCCTTATTCATAGCGATAGTTTTAGTCGATGTCAACATTATAGCGATTTATGAGCTTTGAAAGTCAAGCGAGTTCGTGTATTATCAAATTACGCAATTGTCAGAACAAAAATCAGTAATAGACTAGCCATACCTTTCGCCGAACATAACTTCGGCCCCTTCGAATTCGGACGTAACTTTGTAATAGTCTTATTCCAATCGCTATCAAAAACACTACTTAGAGTGTCATTTACGAGCCTGTACCTTCAAATCTGCACTTTTATCACGGTATCACATCTCTCAAGCAACAAATGTTGGATTGATATTCGTTGTTCATTCTTGAAGACGAAGCGATTTCCGATTCAAGATAAAGAATTCAACGCTTAATTCTCAATTAATACATTCGTTATTTTTTGGTTAGTGTATGCCATCACTTGATATATCGGTATCAATTACGAAAATAACAATAGTTTATATTATAAATACGGCAACAGTAACTTCTAAAATTAGCACTAATTATTCTAATTCTTTACTCCTGTCAATCAAAAATTGAAAATCAACATTCTGACCAATCAGAATGCTCCGGCACCCAGCTGCCGCGGAGAACTCAGAATGTGTAGTTTTTGGGCAGGCGGTATTTCAAACTTCCCATTCTCTCGTGCCCGCGAATACCGCCTGCTACGCAGGCTAGTACATTTCAAATTATTATTTCAGTCACAAGATATATTAATTATTTCACACCAAAACGGCGACAATATACTTATGAGTACGAATTATGTTTCTATCAAAACGATTTAGGAAAAAAGGTAAAGTCGGTCCACTGCTGTGTATCTGAGGTTGCAGGCCACAAATTGACGTTTGAAGACTATGAGTATTGGATGGTCATTTTCTTGTGAAATATCAGCGCTAGGCATTTCACACTTACCAATTACCCCTGGCCCCTGAAAGCACCATCTCTGAACCATATAAGCACCTCAGAATAGCCAAAGCTTTATGGTTTGGTAGATAGCACTATGGCGAAAGCGTTGTTTTTGTCTGTGGTAAGTTTCGGACGGTTCGCTCATTATTCTGGTTTGGGCAGCATTACAATGTTGATCGTAATGGTCAACTTGCCCTAAACAGTTGAGATCTGATTATCTGTCCTAAATGAAATGCATGCAAACTCATATACAGGTCCTAGACTACATTTCACGGGCCACAATTTGTTCACTCAATAGAAACGAGTATATACAACATGCATAACGTGTTAAGTAACGAAAAATAACCGTTGCATCATGCTCGAAGCGTTTCAATTTCATTAGTCATTACAACATTGCGTTTAAAGCGTAACAAACTTGAAATTATAGTACGCTTCAAGTTTGCCTATGACAAGTTGTTTATTTGCGTTTGGGGTGGAAAAATAACGCCTGCACATGGCTTTGTCATTTTGGAAGACTCGTCCACCTACAAACGAAGTATCTGATTGGAGAATTATGGTCACATAAGAACATATGATTGACACTAAGTGGGAGGTCTGCGCTTATTATTGACGTTAGCAAAACGTTGTGGATCTTGGATTTATGGATAAATTTGTCGAGTAAATGCAAAAAACAAAAGCTGTTCGAGTCAACGTGGATTAATTGATTGAAGCCAAAGGTGCGAATTCGAATCCCGCACGACACAACAAAGTTTTCGTTGTACTCAGATATTCAGGAAAACTTATCTAATGATTCGATTTTTGAGCTATTGTATTTCAAATGCAATTAGGCATGCACATTCTATCTCGGGTTGCTGAGTTTGCCGGTCAAAATGTTTGGACGTAAAATATTCATCTCGTCCACGCGAGATACCGCCTTTTTCTGTCGAAATCTCACGACTAGGCGAGTTGCCCAGTTGCATCATGAAACAGTCACGCAGGAAAACTAGTAATTTTGTATAATAGCCACCAGAATCTAGCGCGCCTTTGCCGAGTAACTCGTTTTGCCAGGCAGAGCCCGCCCATATAAACAGATTCTAAAAGGGAAAAGTTGAGGGTAAGTTTCTTCAAAAGGTCCATTTCTGCACTTCCCACCTATTCCACTACTTACAGCGGTCTTACCCATTACGACTCTCCGGTGTCCATGCATTCCTGCCTCAATTGTCCCTAACTGTCCATGGATAATAAAACTTACCAAATATCGAAGACTATCAAACTTTTCTTTGTTGTTTCCCTGTTTAAAAAAAGATGACGGAAGCTTCCTTCTTTTACAACATCAGGTCTTTTGACTTCTTCATCAGGCAATTCTTTCTTATTGACCTTCGCAACTTTTGCCAGGTATTTTATTGCCTCGTCATATTTGCCTTTCACTAGTAACCACCGTAATGACTCTGGTGTCAACCTTGAAAAACAAAACACTAATCACAATGCTGGATTTAAAGTCGATTACGCAAGGCCAGAGGTCAAGGTCCCTACCTTGGGGAGCGAGTTTCGGAAAACGTTGCACATGAAAATACATTTCACGTTTCACATGGAATAAATTAAACATTTCACGAAAATTGAAAAACACGCTTTTCACTATGTAATTTATGTTTTCAATCTTCAGTATTATGCAACTAATTGCACTCCTGAAAGTTTAACATTGAAAGACATTTTCAGGAAATACATGGATGGATATACAGCTATTTCAATTAGGGTTGATCCCAAGGAAAGCGGAAAAGTCGAATACGAGCGCGAAAGGCTGCTGAGAATCGCTAAAAAATTAATGAATTTTGATGATTCCTTCAAACAAAGTTCAAAATTCTTCAGACCGAAGAAATCACCAGCCGGTGAACTGAGGACGAAGTCTATATGCCGGGTTTCCCAAAGAAAGTACTGCGGTTTGATTCTTAATAACTTTGCAGCGAGTGAAGCTATTACACTCAAATATATTTTATTAGATAGAGGAAAGGCTAACTTAGATTCGGACATATTACAGTTGTATATTTGTAAAAAACTGACCAAGATATTAATGGTCAAATTTGGTAGCATATTTCTGGATGTGTGAAGAATGAAGACGTTATGGGCGTAATCATCAAAGGTGTTCGAACCAGTTACGGGGAGGCAGTGGACCACGACAGCTCCGTCTAGAACACTGCAGTCAAATTGCGTGGGAGGCTCTGCCTGAGTCGATGGAATAAGGCACTTGAGGAGTTCCGATTTAGCGCTTGGTAGGCGAAGATTGCCGAATTCTGATAAGGAGGGAGGGAATGGTTGAACTTCATGGCTGAAGAACTCCTCGAGGTCAGCATTACGGCTCTGCATGGCTATGTACAGCTGTGCAAAGAGTGCAACATTATTTTGGAGTGCAGCTATTTTCTTCGTCTGTTTAGATTTGTTTCGCAGGGGTCGTTTCTTGTAAAGGGGGATATTGTTCCTCTTAATGGTGTTGTGAATGGAGATCGTCCGATCCTCTATAACTGTCTTGACATATTCCCTGTACTGGGTCTGACCAAGGGTGTCGAGGTTCTTCACTGCCTTAGCTACGTCATCGTCTGCACAATCACGGCTATCCAGTGTAACCAACTCAGGAAAGTCGTCGAGGAAAGGGTTTCCCATCTTTCTCATTACATCTACTAGTTTATTCATCTGCTGCTTAAACGTCTTTTGCGCACTGAGGCCCATTTCGTGGTTGAGACGTCCACCACGCTCGTCGCTATCTTCTAGATATTGACCTTCAAACTGGTGCAGAAGCCTTGTTGTCTCAGGGCCCGAAAGCATCCATCGTCTGAAAATAGAAAATGAAAAATAATAATTGCTCAGCTGAAACTTTTTTTTTAAAAAAAATATTGCTTTTAGATCTATTAATCCATATTTTGTAACTAAAGCATTCAGATTTTTCAGAACAACTGTCTGTCTTGCAAACTGAATTCAATGCATCGCGACCATTTTTGTTTTCATAAGAGCGCATAGTCGATTAAACCGTCCAGGACAATGAATTACTTGCCCTGTTATCAATTACTTGCCCTGTCCCCTAATGCAGTCAAATGGATTTCTGTCAATACAGGAATCGCTTGAATGGATTGGATTGATTTACTATGCTATTCTTTAAGGTCTAAAACAAAACCAGCATTTTGGAAATGAATTTCGCGATGCACCGAATTCAGTTGTAACATGAAGTTTTTATAATTATATATTAAAGTTTACCTAAAGGCTACAGGGTTTTCCGTAAGGCCAACGGCTCCTCCTGCACTCTTTACGACCTTGTTCTCCTGCTCGTGCGCCTGGTCAAAAGGGATCGCAGAGAACCGATTGCCCGTCTTCGACAATACCCATCGTCCTTCCTCTTGAAACACCTTGGAGATTGATTCAGGCAAGGACTTCATGTCTCGAAGGTGGATGGATACCCACCTGGCGTAGTTCATGTGATCCAGTGCAAAGAATAATGGTATTAACTCTTCAAGGGCCTCGACGTACAGGGTGAAATTACGCTGGCGATGTGCACGTACAAAAAGTAGAACCAGGGTCTCGTACTTCAAGATAAGATCCCAGAAGAGAAACGTCGGGCTCCTGGTTTTTCTCTGTTCCTCCCATGTAGCCATTGTAGTGTCATCAGCGCACGTCGAAAATGCCTCTTTCTTTAGCATATGCAGGGCAAGAGATGTAACCTGGTGAGCATGCCTGAAATTTAAAAGCATACAGTTACGGTTTCATAACAATAAAAGCAACTCTCACTGGCTGAGAAAACAACTAGTTATATGAACAGGAATTCAAACATACCTTGTTCTTGTTAGATGTGATGCCTTCAGGAATGAATCTGCCACACCAGACGAGGCCACGTCAGCTTCTGTCAAGGCGGTGGTCCATCCTGACCCATCTAGCAAGTCGCCAACTACACTCCATAGTGCCATCTCAACGTGGAGACCACCCATCATCGCAACGAATGCCTGCTCTCCGTGTGACGTCGGCCACTTCCACTGCACCATCTTCACCAAGGCAAATAGAGGTTGATCTACAGTAATGACTGGGACCTGGCCCGGGTTCAGAAAGGTTGTCGCCTGTCGTATTACGTCCATCCCATGCTTTATCATTGCTGGCGTTGCTGCCTTCTCGTAAAAAATGGGTAACAGTGCAGTTAATGCTGGTGGGTCTTTTTCGACTTGCTTTGCCGAGTGAAAGGCTGCCCACGTCAACTTGTCATCAGCAACAACGTTTTCTTTGTCAAATTTAACAAGGGTCTCCTCCATCCATCGTTTTTCTTCTCCTTTCTCAAAGTTCAAAGACAACCCTGTTTCTTTCGTGATTCTTGCTGGTATTACAGAACTGTTGGTGCTTAGCTCGACGGGGTGGACAACGGCGTACTCTTCTGGTAGTGAGTGTCCTGATCCATGTGATGGTAAGCGGATCGGATCTCTGAGTTCCCCATGATTTCCAACCGTTGGGAGCTGAAAGAGGCTGATGCCAGTGCCATGAAATGATGATGTAGCGGTTGTCGAGCTCGGATTATGATCAAGGTTATCCAGCGCTCCTATCGTGAACAGTCCCTTTCTCAAACTAGCAGGTACTACACATCCATCAGCAACAAATCGCTCGCTTATGGAGCTGGCAAGGGATTCCTCTATCTCCATGATCCTTTGGTATGAGACCGACAGCCCCAGCTCATAAAGCTTCATTATTAGCGCCTTGCTTCTTGTTGTTGCGTGTATGTTAAGTCCGATGTATAATGGGAGTGGTGGTTCGCGGGACTTGGTATGTCGTGTCTGGCCAGTTGTTGACTTTCCTCTTCGTTCCTTTGCATTGAAAATTATCGTCTGGCACACAGTTAAACATGGCTGGGAATCTTGTGCTTCAGTGTTCTCAATGTCCAAGCCACTCAGGATCATATAAATGAGCGACTTCAGACTTGCTGGGGTGGACGTTTCTTGACAACCTGTAGTAAAATTGCCAGAAAAGTTGAAGCCTTTATTCTTAAATATGTCCCTTCTTACAATTGCGGACGCCTTGGCCAGTATCGTGGCGTCCTCAGAGAAGTCCCTTTTCTTGATTGCATCTTTAACCATACCCTGTAATGCTGTCGTGAAAATTATGACAAGATTTTTCCCATCATTTTGCTCTTGTGCATCAGGAAACTGATCTAACAATGAATTCTTCAGTCGAGTTTTATTTACAGTCTTATAAACGCCCAAAGCTTCAAGGCGACTTATATAAAGTGAATGCAATTCAGATAGCTTAAAAAGAAGCTTGTTCCCCTCGACAGAGTTCTCAATATACTCAACCAACTCAATGTATGCTTGAGACTCCATAATCTTCTCGTCCTCTTTTTCACAAGATTCTTGTCGTTTTTTAGTGAGTTTACTTCTATACCGATTTCTTAGGTCAGTCAAACATTTAAGGTGATATTTGGCCTCAGCTGCTATGAGATCAACTCCTGAGATCTTTGGCGTTAGCGTAGAATTGTTAATTTCAGTAATCATGCGACGGATATTCTGGTCGGTCGAAAAAGTGGTGACTTCATGTAGCTGGCCCCCCTTACCACACAAGATGCAGTCCTCCTTATTGTGTGTTAGTGATTTTCGTCGATTCTTTACTGCCGGGGCTTTCTCCTCCTCTTCTGGTTGGCCTTCTTCCTTCTCCCTTTTCCTACATACTCTTTCTTTGACTTTTTGTAGCTTCGACAAATTGAATTTCAAATAGCAAGACTTGTGCCATGACGCCTCATTTTTAATTAAAACATCAGTGTCTATATCAAGAGCGAAGGGAACATTGACTGGCAGAGCACCTAGTGAGCTAAACTCAAGAACATTCTGAAGAAAAGAGGCATAGACTGATATGGGGTCATAACATGGACCACATGCTCTAAGAGGACATCTTAAATCTTCTGTTGTGGTTGTTTGGCATATGATACATCGACTCCAAGATATTTCCATTTCCGATTCTGAAACGGTTATATTTTCGATTAATTTTAGCAAATTACACAGAAAAAGCAACTTAAAATTGAAAGAAAAATTGTTAAACCAAACTTTTATATATATTGCAATATAAAATTAACAGGATTATCGCCTTTCAATAGCGAAATACTTACAGTTTTTGTAGATACGCCTGGTAGCCGCCATCTTGGATTTAGCCAATGGCCGAGTGGGACTGGGCAGCAGTATTTCAAAGAGAGGCCGAAAAGTGGCTTTTTTGTTAAGATTTGGGGTTGTAATCGACAGTCATGACAGATAATGCATTTTAATGGGTAGATAGCTTTTTCAAAATGTATTTAAAACGTTTTTATATATTTGATAAATATATTTAAAATAAGTACCACAGGGAGCCCAATTCGTGAAATTTGAAAAAAGTAAATCCTCCGTATGTCCCCTCAATGGAATATTTACGTTGGGCTTCCCCTCTAACATTGATAGTACTACCATAAGCTACAACTATGCCAAGTTTGGTGCTTTTGTCAGCTCTGTAACGATCAAGACCCTAAGAGACCTGACTACGTATTATTATGAGTAAATTGATGAAACTTGATAAAATGTTTGTTGTGAAACGAAGTATTATTATTTACAAATTACAAACAAGATTTATTCGTTCGGAATCGCGTGACCTCTAACACGAATGCATTGCCTAGCTCGTCGGAAACCATGGCGTCACGTCGTTGCATGCATGTCGCTTCTTGCAAAAACTTGTGGTGCGTTGCGCTAATTATTGTTCGTTTTGTCGGGGCAGGAGCATTACGCCAGCGACCCGACCATCGTCTGCCGCATTTTGGACTCTTTGATTCTTGATTGGAAATATTTTACTCTTTGATTCTTAGCTAATCTTAACATACTCAAAATGAAACACAATTAAACCATAACATAACATAACAACATAACATAACATAACATAACATAACATAACATAACATAGCAAGCAACTCTCCAGAGACATGCAACATTCTTAGAACAAAATGCATAAAATATAAAGCGCTGATACAGTAATATGTATTCGCAAAAAGATGGCTAGAACAGTATTATTTAAACAACCATACAGTGTGTTAGCCAGGTGGCCATCCGACCGTCCTATGGACTGCCACCTGGATTGAATTTGGACGGCTAAATTTTAATGGAACGCCATGGACGGCCTAAGGGAATATTTTCTTTAAATAGGGACCGGTCATAAAGTAACTGCTAGGGTGGGATGGAGTGATCTGGGATGGGCCATGGAAAATCTTTGGGCAGTTTCGATGGGCCACCAATTTTTTGGTATGTCAACGGTTGGGCCACCAAACAAAAACCCATGTTAATTATATATTATATAAAGATATTAATTAATAATAAAAGTAAACAAAACTATCCAAATTATCAAATGCAAATGATGCTATTGAAGCCAGCACTCTGTTTTATACAACAACAAGAAGTGGTCGAATCACAGGAAAAAACAAACAACTGGAGAGCAGTTCAGTATCGTAATTGGCGATGAATGTGTTGGTCAAGCATGGTGTAATTATGTATGTCAATACAGTGCCAGTGTATATTTATACAATGTTCATACCTGCAAATTGTTTTAATTATAAAATTGTATTTTCCCAATTTAGATTGGGTAGGTGGGTCATGAAATAAATTTGGTAAGATTAGATGGGCTTTGAAATTTTTATCTACATCCTAAGATGGGTCACCAAACTTACTGGCAAAATTTGTGATTTACCTCCAGCCCATCCTAGCAGTTACTTTATGACCAGCCCCTAAATAGCAACCTACAAGCTTTGTAATATTTCTTGAATACTTCGCGCAATATTTTTGTAAAACGCCCTATGTTTTAGTAACCATTTTGAGGATTATCGCATGAAGTATCAAGGAGAATAATGTGAAACCACTGTTTTATAAAACAGCAATCGTTTTATCGCTCAAGCTCCACGTCACAGTTACGGTAGTGATCATACCATACGCGTGCTTTTACTAATTTAATGACGGAAATGTGCATCTAAATCTAAAAGTAAAAAGGTTCAACGAATAAAACACCACAATTCCTCAACAACAGAAAATTGCGGCCACGCCCAAAAATATGTGACCACGCCCACAAATATATGTTGCCACGCCCACAATTTTTTTTAGGACGGCCACTGTTGAAATCCTGGCTAACACCCTGCTACCATGCATATTATCCTATTCAAACTTAGAAACAGTCAACTTTGTTTTGTTCGTTTGAGACTACTCGAAATATGAATAGGCCGTTCAAGAAAATGTATTGCCCCTTAACTTGTTTTTGGGTAGATTTAAAAATTAATAAAAAACTTGCATAAATTCAAACGTTAGCATCTCAGTAAATAATGAGCGAAAACCTACATCTAATATATCAAAATCTAAGTTAGCATTTCCTGTATTTAATAAAAGTTATTTGATCCCAGTTGCTTCACACACGCTTTGAAGTTATTAAGAATCAAACTGGAGTACGTTTTTTGGGACAAATGGTAGACTTATACGAGTTATTCGGCGATTCGTTTCAAGGCAACCGACAGCCAAATAGAGCGACAGACTTCCCTTGAACAGTTGAAGATAATTAATTCGTAACAGAAAACATCGCCAGAAAAGGTAAAGCAAGTATTCTACAATATTATTCAGCATTTACTTCGGTTCGTTGATTATGAAATTCCGATCCCAAGTATTAACAACAAATTAACGCGAAACGTCGTTACAGATAAAAAAAAGCAAAGCATTTGACATAGCTAGATCATCAAATTCTACTTGAGAAGATGTAAATTGATGGTATTAAGGATAAGGCATATTTGTTGTTGGGATCATATCTTACTGTTCGCACCCAAAATTACCAAGTATAAATGGTGTTGTCTCGTCTGAACACAAAGTTATAATTTGGTGTGCCCAAGACTCCATTTTAGGTCCTTTATTTTCCTAATTTACTTAAATGTTTTATCTGGATGCGTAAATAGGACAAAGCCAAGACTTTTCGCAGGAGACTCAAACTTAACTGCTCACGGAGGAACAATTAGTGATATAGTTTGAAGTAACGGAATGAGAGCAAATCCAGGTTTCGAAGAGTCGCGTTAGCCTAAGCGTCACCAAATTTCTTGAAACTTTGATAACTTGTGGAAGACAGTCCATAATTCGACTCTGTGTGATTAAATTTTGTTTCCGATGAAAAATATTTTTGCGCAAGGCCTTTTTTGGCGGATTTTTAGTAACAACTTTTCTACTCGAAAAACGCTAGCATTTTAAATAATTTTAGTGCGTGCCAACGAACGTTAAAGTACCTAGCCCTACCGAACGCTTTCGCAAATGTCGTGCGCATTTGACTTTAGTTAACTTTTTCTAACTGTGTACTTTTTTTCTGATACACCCTGTACAGTCACTTTGAATTAAACTAGATTTGATTAAAAATTCAAGTATATATTTTGGTCACTAAAGGTGGCTCGATATAGTTATTACAAAAACCCTGCTCAAGAATCACGAACTCAAAACCGGGTGACCATTTTTACGCGCAGGCCGCGGAAACTGATTAACAAAATAAAAGAACTTCCAAAATGACCTGACGTGAGCAGTTGCTCGCGCCATATCACGCCATTGCACGTGTTCTATTATTCTATAGCATTTTATGTCAAATGACGATGTCATTAGAGGAATTTTTTTAATCTTTTTGCAAATTTTGTTCTATAACTTACCACCAGTAACATAGACAAGGTGTACCTATTGCGGCACTGGCAAGCAGCAGGTCCCTCCAATTTGGTAAAAGATAAGCCAGAAGAGCCAGAAAGAGCCATCCAATCGACCAAGAATTAAACAAATAAATTCCGAGTTTTGCTCGATGTCTCGCACTCGTATACTCGGTCAGTAAAACGAATATTATCACCATCAGGACTCCTGAATATAAGAAAATTAAAACACTCATTAAGTAATAATAACAATTTACTATATGGAAAAAAGCAAGAGCATTCCTCAGAAAACTATGTTTAGTCAAGTTTTTCCGTTACAACACTATTGGAACATTTAGAAATGAAGATCTGCACAGTTTAAATCTCTTTATAGTATTTAAAATTGGAAAATAACAGTCATGTAATCTGATTACGCAATAATGTATGCACTGGCTTTGTTTTTCAGTTTTTCTTGTTTGTTGCCAAAACAATATGAACAAAATACACCAATTCGATAATTACGTCACACATACTCTTTGGTCTTGGGACCTGGCTCTCATTACTAATTGACGCAAGGTGATTGGCTCATGATTCATGAGAGCGAGGCGCCCAGGCCAATTAGCCTTTCTCACGATGACGAATATCCGCCATTTTTGGATGGCATCTAATTCTCGTTAACCAATGCAGACAATTAAAACAATGTGAAAGCAACTTTTCAAAATAGACTAACCATTTACAAAGCAAATTTACCATCTTTCGCCCAAAAATTATAAAAAGTCGCTGTTATGTGGACTTATCTCGCAGACTTCGGCTGAAAAGCCACCCAAAAATGGCGGCGTGATCGAAAAGGTGTATTATCGAAAAGGTGTATTATAGGGCGCTTTTCATTTAATGGCCTGGACGGTCAGACGCGAATTCTTTTCTCTGTATCAATGGAAAGACCCGGTCTTTGTTTCGCAAATATCTAGTGAGAATGGACTTCATTCTAATGTTATCTAAATTTTCCAGTGAGACAGGTCCGAAGCTCAAACGTTCTGTGCACAATTCAACAATTTGACCGTTTTAATGCAAAGTGCCAATAGAGTGCATTTAAATTCGTTTAAAAGTTAATTGGAAGACAAGCAACAGTAGGCCGAAAATGAAGTGTAAACTGAGCGGCCAAAAAGAGTAACGGGAATAAATACGACTCTTAAAAAAACTTTTAAAATAAGTTTAATAGCTGTTTTTGACTCTTAATAAAACTATCCAAATTCATAACCTACAGGAATGCAAAAAAGAAACCAACCAGAAAAAAGTTAGAATAGATAAACAAATATTGTAAACAAATTTCCTTAAATGCTTCAAATAAAAACTACTGGAAGCAATTTATGTAATGATAATTTCAATGAAAATATAATGAAAATTTTACTCAACAAAAAGAGAAATATTTATTTTGAATTTTTCAAAGTGTTGGTTTTTATTTCTCCTGCATACGTGCTCACGCTTATACTTGGCTATGTAAGTGGCGTAGAATACCGGATATAGGCTACGTGAAAGCACGTACGCTACTCGGATATATTGGCATGTAGAATTGATTTCCGTTGTTTCCAGACACCTGGGGTATAAACATCCAGGGCATGGTGTCAAGTAACGGAGTGAATATACTTCGTTGCTGTACTTGAGCACTGTTTTTGAGAAATCAACATGTAACAAAGTAAATTTTTTCTGGAGTAAATTTTCCTGGAACGGTTTACTTCGTTAAATTATTTTCAGGTTGTGGCGAAGTATTTCGTTAGTTTAATTGATTGATTGATTGACAACTTCATTAACTCTTTAAAAGCAGACCCCTATAAACGTAGTACGTGCACGTACTATGACACTATGCCGATTCATATCTCCGGTTTGGTGCACGCTATGTAGATAAAAATACCACCATTCGATTCAGTGAAACAATATCTCCTAATACCCATCGATAGTTTTAGTCAGATATAGTTTTAGCAAAATTGTATAACTATTTATGACCTTTTGACAGGTCAAGCAGTGTCATATTTCATTTTATAATATAGCATTTGTAAATTCTGAACGCTGATTGGCTAAGAGCCGTGTTGATATAACTCCATGTCAACACGGGAAATTTTCCGCCGCTTGTAACACGGAAATTGTTCTTATTCTTCGGGCTTTTGACATTGCTATATTATAAAACAAATATAAAACATTTTTTCCGTATTGATATATAGTTATATCAACACTCGTGGAAGTTGGGAAAACTCGAAATTGTGTGAAAACACTCCGCCCTTCGGGCGTCGTGTTTCCACACAATTTCTCGTTTTCCCAATTTCCACTCGTGTTGATATAACTGTATATCAACACGGAAAATGTTTTATATTTGTTAAATATTAATCAATTGTCTCGAACAATGTAAACTATCCATACATTTTGCCGAACATAACTTCGGCCTCTTTTGAGATATCGTTTTCGCTATAGTCTTATTCGAAACAGAATCCAAAACACTATTGAAAGTGTTATTTTCAAGCTTGTAGCCAAAGTTTTTCGTCTTTTATTTCTGTATTTCAATCTGTTGCGAAACTAATGAAATCAGCGGGATATTTTTAACCGGAAATACACTTTAGATCGCCCAAAACATCGCGTGTTTACATCCTAGCGCTCGGAAAACATCGGAAAACGATTATAAAGCACGGGCTTTAGGACAAATGCAATTCGACAACAATAGTATTCTATCTAAATAGCAGTTGAAATAAAGTGTACGGCACCTGAACTGTTCAATATCTTGCTTCTGTATCCATAAAACATTTACATCTATGCAAATACAGTATATTTTCAAAATCCGCCATATTTATTTACATTAGAACCCACGCTTTCGCGGTTCACATGAAATATTAACGTCGGTGATTTTCACTAATAATAAGAGGGTAGGATTAAAGTGGCCGTTGTCACTCGCTACCCCAATCAGCTGTCTGGGTTCTGTACCACGTGACCTGTTCAAATCGTTGCGAGCGGGAGGAATCTTATGACATCATAACGGCTTCGATAAAATATTTGGGGGACACGTTTGTGCCATATAAGGAAGTTGGGGACACGTTTGTACCATATATGGAAGCATGGTTTCCTCGCGCTTCGAACGATTAAATAATTGGATGATCCTACCCTCTTATTATTAGTGAAAATCACCAGATGAACGACGTAATATTTCGTGTGAACCGCGAAAGCTTGGGTTCTAATGTAAATAAAAATGGCGTATTTTGAAAGTATACAGCATTTGCATATATGTAAATGTTCTATGGATACAGAAGCAAGATATTGAACAGTTCAGGTGCCGTACACTTTATTTTAACTGGTATTTAGATAGAATACTATTGTTGTCGAATTGAATTTGTCCTAAAGCCCGTGTATAAAGGTCAAATTACATCTGCAGCGTGATTTTCACGTTCATTGGGCTACGAGATACTCCTTACTGGTCAATTTTACATGCAGCACGCGCGTGCGAGTAAAAACCTGATGAAAGCCGATATACTAAAAAATTCCAAATAAACATTTCTACTCGCCGTATTCAAACGAAACTTTCTACATGAAAGCGCTTGAATACAAGGAATATTTCACTAATATTAACTTGTGGCGAATTCTGAAAAGTTTAGAAAATATTCAACTTTTTCTCCATATGAAAATACAGAATGTTTGGCCAAGTGGTGAGCAAATATATGATTGTTTCAGTTTGTGTATTTGTTTTGATGGCATTAGACCCCCCGATGAAAAGCTTATCTTGCTAGGATTTCAATGGTGTTCTTTGTTTTTAAGGGGGTGAATACGCGCTGAAATATTTACGTTATAAAACAGTTGAATCAAAATATTGCTTGCCGTGAAAAATGTCGCATGTCGAGAAAAGTGCTGTCTTATAGCAAAAGAATCAAGCTTTCACTAATCGGGGACACTTAAAATTATCCTGCTTACAACAATCTCCACTAAAACCGAGCAAAATCGAGAATACGTGGCACATGAGCAAAAATAAAAATTCTTCTTATTTTTTCCAGTTATAGTCTAATGTGTGCTCAGAAACGTGCATGGTGTAGTTTGTTTTCTGAAATATTATTTTAAACGCCAAAAATTATCAAAATTCACACACACCCGAGATTCGCGAAATTAGCAAAAAAATTGTGAGCCACGGCCTCTCGAAAATTTTGTTTTTCTCAATTGGCGTGTGATGAAACCCCACCTTTCGTTTTTAAACGTGTTTATAAGATGTTTATATAGAACGTGGGTCCAATTTGCAATTTTTGAAATGACTTTTCAATGTCAAGACAAGCGTGTAAAAATCGTCTTTTTTTGCGATCCAAAAAATTCTAAATTGTTACACTTTTTGAAAATTAATTTTCCGTATCCGGGAAAACTCCAATTTCCTTGAAATTTACTGAATTTAAAGAGAAACTGTTGCTCTAAAAGCTGATATAAAAATTATTTTGGGGCTTTTTGTTACCGCGGAATTATACTAACTAAAATATCGAGAAAATGACAAGAAAAACCTTAAAAATCCTCAGACAATCCACCACTTCAGCGGTAAAACGCACGTGTAAATTTCAAGGGTGTCACGTGGTACAAAATGTAAACATTGCGGACATTCGCTCTGTTGTGTAATAGGAGTTAATATGGCGCTCACTATCGTTACTGATTTGAATTGCAAATTTATATTGTAATTATTGTATATTTCGGTGTTGTTATACTACAAATATAAAGAAAAATGTCTAAAGATTCTATATCAGATATTAACGGCGTTGTAGTTCCTAAAAATCAATTGCTTTGAAACGACGGCGGTCCATAGTAATTTTAATGATTATAGTGATTTAATATGGTTGCGACGAAGAGATGCGCTTGGAGAACATTTAAAAACAATTTTCGCTACCCACATTCGATGGCTAAGTATAAGAATGGCCATCCTGTATATTTCTATCGCTTCCCAGCACCAAAAAGATCACAAGAGAAGCGGTCGCGTTGGATAACAGCCTGTCATCGAGGCTTGCTTAACTTTACTTGTTCTATAAAGGACAGCTACTGTATATTTGCAGTTGGATAATTTTGTGTGCCACCTGGCGAAACGTCACTGATAAGATACCACCAAAGATAAAATTGTACACAATGATGAATGTGAGTCTTCCACAAAGGAAAATACAACACAGGTAATTATCTCAAATTTACCATATTAAATTGCAGAATAGAGTATATTTCTCTTCACATTGCATAATGTAGTTTTCTATAGGGCTAAGATTGGTAAAGTGTGAGTATTTTTAAGTACCTTGTTAATAAATTATGAAAGGTAGTCAAACAGACAAAATTATATTTTAGACAAAATTCTGTTTGAAAATTGGGGGAGGGGGGTGGCTCTCCCCCTGTCTCCAGAATTTACGCTATACCCCTCTTTATAACAGTAACCAAAAATCAATCTTTTCCCATATATATAGCCATCAAAATCTTAGAATTAAGTACTTTGTCTCTGACAATGGAATATCGCCTGGTTTATATTTGCGTTCTTTTATTACTAGAGTTACCAGTAATTTCTGCAAATGATATTGTATTACACCAACCAATTTGCTACAAAACCCAAAAATGGTTCACCCAAATCTGTTTATGCGACTAGTGGAAAATAAGGATAAAACTTATCATTATACAGGTAATATATATATATATATATATATATATATATATATATATATATATTGGGGGTGTCGGAAGCGGATGGGAGGACTTTTTCGTTGGGGGCCTTAAATATCTTTGCCCCCCTCCCCACTTTTTAACAATGGTCAATAATAAACCACAAAGTTAATTGACATTATTTCAGTTATGCTTCTAGACAAAACAATTTGAGATATTTTATGACATTTTGTTACCATTAGAACTCTGTAAATATTCTTCTAAAAGTGCAGGAAATGGCATTTCAGACACTCTAGTTTCAATTTTTTTCCAGGAGGAAAGGGAAATAATTCAAAGAAATTGAAATAATTCAAAGAAATTGATTAAACAACATATTTTAAAGTTTTGTAATGAACCAAGAAAGCCAAGGTAGCCTACCATTAGCTTGTGTACAGACTCAACCCAAATTTTTTAAATCCCAACTTGAGTTGAATTTTCTATTGTACCCCAGCCTGTGTGCAGATCAACTCAACCTGAATTTTGTAATTTTGAACACAAGTTGGAATTTAAAAAATTTGGGTTGAGTCTGCACACATGCTAATGGTACCTTGGCTTTCCTGGTTCATTACAAAGCTTTAAAATATGTACATACTTTGATGTATTTCTTGTTCAATTTCATTGAATTATTTCTTGTTCTTTTGAACCCTTTCCCACATCTTAAAAATACTCACACTTTACCAATCTTAGCCCTATAGAAAACTACATTATGCAATGTGATGAGAAATATACTCTATTCTGCAATTTAATATGGTAAATTTGAGATAATTACCTGTCTTGCATTTTCTTTTGTAGAAGACTCACAGTCATCGTTGTGGACAATTTTATCTTTGGTGGGACTCGGTGACGTTTCACCAAGTGGCCCACAAAATTATTGCAAACTGCAAAATAATATAGCTGTCCTTTATAGAACAAGTATTAAAGTTATCACCTCGATGACAGGCTATTATCCAGCCCGACCGCTTTTCTTGCGATCTTTTTGGTGCTGAGAAGCAATAGAAATATACAGGATGGCCAATCTTATTCTTAGCCATCGAATGTGGGTAGCAAAAATCATTTTTAAATGTTCCCCAAGCGCATCTCTTCGTCGCAAACATATTAAATCACTATAATCATTAAAATTACTATGGACCGCCGTCGTTTCAAAGCAATTGATTTTTAGGAACTACAACGCCGTTAATATCTGATATAGAATCTTTAGACATTTTTCTTTATATTTGTAGTATAACAACACCGAAATATACAATAATTACAATATAAATTTGCAATTCAAATCAGTAACGATAGTGAGCGCCATATTAACTCCTATTACACAACAGAGCGAATGTCCGCAATGTTTACATTTTGTACCACGTGACACCCTTGGAATTTACACGTGCGTTTTACCGCTGAAGTGGTGGATTGCGCACCTTGCTTCAAATATAGACAGTCGAAACTTAATAATTTTTGCTTGTTTTCTCTTGTTATTTATAGAAATATAAGACGTCGATAATTTTTGGTACTAGTTTCCCTATTTCGAGATTTTTCGAGATTTCACGCTGTTAAACTCTCCAAGATTTCAAAATCAAAATCATGAAATCAAAATCATGTTTCAATTGATCGATCCATGCGCGCCAATTAAAATAAACTAGAAACACTTGTACACTCGCTAGATTCAAGGCTATATATATACTTACTATAAACAGTCAATTACTTATATTTGAGCATGTTGTGCTCTAAGCAGTTCAGTTTAAGCGTCAAACTTCGGCCATATGTTCATTGAGGCCGGGCAAGTTCAGTCGTTTAATTAAAGAGACAGGGCCGTTCCTAGCGCGATAATTGGGGTGTACATTCATATATTCGTCTTTTGCCCGACGGATTTCTTTTGAAAGCAATCGTTTTTACGGTAGCGAGCATGAATATATGAATATACCCCCCCCCCCATTATCGCGTCTAGGAACGGCCCTGTAAAGGGATAGGAAATAGCATGAATATAGAAATTAGATTCCCTTATCTGAAAGAACTTTTAAAATGATGTGGAAAACATTTTAAAGCTTTTTTTAAATCTCGCTTATTTCTCGACCTTAAGAAAAGCTTCTGTTGTGATGGAGCTGAACTGTGGAACTCATTACCTAAATGCAATATAATTGACGCTTAGAATTTGAGTTTGTGTAATTGTCGAGGGTCGAGGGTCGTACGTGGAGGGCGAGGGTCAAAAGTGGAGGGTCGAAAATAGTGAATTTTTATCCATTTTAAAGTTTTACAACCATTTTGAAAGCTTCCAAACGCGGCAAAACAATTAGTTTTGCTCTCAAAACTGAAAAATTTCGCCTATGGCTAGTAATCTATGTATACTGGAAGTTTCGCTTGACTAGGAACTAAAAGTCTGATGCGAGGTTTGATGTTTGAAAGTATACGTATTTTCATTTACATTGCGGGAATTTAAATACAAACATGGGCGATGATCAGAGGCGATGATACAAATTTGCGTTTTGCTCTCAATCTCATGAGAGACGTATTGTCCCGCTTCCCCGGGATTCAATGAAGTGTGACGTATTTTGATCGAGCAATTCAAATACGTGTTTCAGCCCTAAACAAAAGTTAGATAGGCCTAACTTTAAATATTTTATAAACGAAATTAGGAATGCGCTAGAAGTTATGTAGTGGAAGAAGACGATTAATAGCATTCAACAACATTTGGTTTCAGTTTTGTTTATTAATTAAGACATGGAATTTCATACAATTTGTAACGAGCAATTTTGTTAGATCATGAAGTGCGACTAATTTAAATTGCTCAAAATAGGTACGTCACACTTTATCAAATCCCGGGACCCGGGGAAGCGGGACCATGGCTTGGGACTTGGCATGGCGGCGACAGAGTTCTGGAATTGCTCAGAACTTCAACTTAACGATGCTCCCTATAGGGTATGACATCGTGTTTACATGTCTGATATGTTGGATAAGTTGCAGGAAAGTATGGGTAATATCTTCATTTTTTTGCAGTTTGTCATGGATAACGTAGCTGCTTAAAATTAATCAATTGACAGTATTTTAAGGGTATATTATTTAAATGATAAATAAAGGTCTGCATAATTTTGTAAAAAGAATGATTATTA